TGGTGTAATTCTAATTTAAATACGATTATTATTTTTTTAATTATAATTTTTTAAATGTAATAAAGTCGAGTATGTCCCAATCTAATACGGGTTAATTATACTCCGAGCCAGCCTCGGATTTGACCGCCACGCAGACTKGTGGAGAAATTAGTGCGCTATGTTTTACGGGACGTTTTTTGTGGTAGAGTTTGGCCTCCTTATCTCTAGTCTTCATGAATATAACTATGACTATGTGTTTGTGTGTGTGTGTGTAACGGTCGGCGACGAGATATAATAATGAGCATTGAGCGCTACTATAGAATTGTCGCGGCGGCGACAATGGGTTATATTCCCACATAAAAGCCAATGCATTAGGTGAAATTGTGAGAAAACCTCGTAGTTAGGTGGTGCTGTACCTTCTCGAGGTCTCCGCTGTAAATAGTGTCGTTGTTAACGAGTATTATCCCGAAGCTTGCTTTTGATTAACACAACAATGTCACGAAACGAAACAGCACCAAAACGGCGGCCAAACGTCTTAGGACCTCCTGGCCCTCCCGGCAAAAAAGCCTTTTTGAAGGCTCTTTTGACACATGCCTCTGCAGCACAAGATTTTAAAGCAAAGACAACTTCTTCTCCATCTTCTCTAAATATTAAAAATAACAAAAAAACATCATAAAAGAACAAAATATAAAAATCAAAATGGACAAATCCTTAATAATTACAAGGATAATTTTGCTAGCAGTTGGAAAAATAAAAACGGTAATGAAATACTAGGACATCGTATGCGAATTGTCCAGATAAACGTCGAAGACATGTCAAGGGCAAAAGCCGAGCTCATTAGCCATATTTTCCATAGCGCGGATATCCTGGCCCTCCAAGAAACCCACATCTCAGATGATCATACAGAGAGGCTAAAAATTCCAGGTTATCAGCTAATCGGCTTTATAGGGCACAACAAACACGGTGTGGCTACTTTCGTGAACCAGAACTTGGACTCGAAGGATATTAAGTGCATCGAGGGGAACCAACACATAGTTGAAATCGAGATAGGAAATACCAAAATTTTTAATGTATATAAACCGCCGTCGGAAGATTGGACTACGTCTGTGCTACCACAAGCCGACCACCCAGCAGTATATACCGGGGACTTTAATTCACACAGTACAGTTATGGGGCTATAGTAGCAAAGACCGTAACGGAGAAAACCTCAGTTACTGGGCTGAACTAAACCACCTTCACCTACTATACGATGCAAAACAAGGAGGTACATTGAAATCAGGCAAATGGGGTTCAACCACTTCTCCTGACCTTTGTTTTGTCACAACAGATCATTGTAAAATCCCCCTAAAAGTAAGTCGTCAAATTCTAAAAGAATTCCCAAAGAGCCAACACTTACCTGTTGTAGTAGATGTGGGCCTAAGCCTGCCCGTAAAGAGCAAGCCAAAATTAAACAGATGGAATGTCAGGAAAGCAGATTGGGACAAATATAGAACTTACATGGAAGAAAACATAAATCGTATTAAGCCGATACCTATTAACTACGAGAGGTTTACAAAGCATATTAAAACGGCAGCGGGAAAAGCTTTACCCAGGGGCCACAGACAAGATTACATACCATGCTGGTCAAAGGAATGCAACAAACTGTTATCTGAATATGAACAAAGTCCGAAGTAACAGCAGACCGATTAACAAAACTACTCGATGAGGAGCGAAGACAAAGATGGGTCAAAGCTATGGAAGAGATGGACTTCACTCACTCTAGCCGGAAAAGCTGGGACCTTTTAAGAAAGCTTGGCGCTTCCAAACAAACTAGGAAAGAAAATAGCACCACTCCAAACGCAATTGCAAGTAACCTCTTCAAAACCTCAAACATCAAACCTACTAAACAAAAGAATGTCACGATCGCTAACGAATATAAAAAAGAACCAGAGAGGTGCGAAGATAAGTCTACTTTAATGAATGGCTTTAATGAAAAAAATGTACAAATTACCTTAAAAAACGTGAAAAACGGGAAAGCTGCAGGCGCAGACGGAATCTTACCGGAATTTATAAAAAATGTAGGTCCTAAGAGTAGATCTTGGATCACACACTTTTTCACGAATGTGAACTATTAGAGAAACCCTCCCTAAAATATGACGTGAAGCCAAAGTTGTGGCCATTCTGAAGCCTAATAAAACATGAGATGATCCGAAAAACTATAGACCAATATCGTTGCTCTCGGTAGTCTACAAACTATTTGAGAGACTTCTATTAGGGCGAATCGCACCACTACTAGAACGTACACTTCCTAAAGAACAAGCTGGTTTCAGAAGCGGAAGAAACTTCTGCGAACAAGTGCTGACCCTAACAACGTATGTAGAAAATGGAGTTCAAGAAAAGCTGAAGTTCGGGGCAGTGTCCCTAGATCTTTCAGCAGCACGACACCGTCTGGAAAAGAGGTCTTCTACTCAAATTGGCAAAGATCCTTAAATCCAAAACCACATTACACCTATTGGAGTAGACACTATCCAACAGAAACTGTAATGTCCATCTTAATGGCGAAGTAAGCCGAAGAAAGATAGTGCAAAATGGGCTTCCACAAGGATCAGTTCTCTCACCTACACTGTTTAACGTATACACCGCCGACATAATAGAAACAAAATCAAGAAAATTCATGTACGCGGACGATATAGGCGTAGTAGCCCAAGGTAACTCATTTGAACAACAAGAAGACACCTTGAACGAGGACTTAAAAATCTTACAAAACTATTTTCTAAATTGGTATCTGATCCTAAATGCAAACAAAACAACAGCTGTGACTTTCCACCTAAATAACCGCGAAGCGAAAAAAGAACTCCAGCTAAAAATTGGTGATACCAACATTTCCAACGAAAAGTGCCCTAAATACCTAGGCGTCAAATTCGACAGGACACTAACTTTTAAACAACACCTTGATCCAACAAAAAATAAATTTAAATCGTGAAATAATATCATCGGTAAATTAGCAGGGACTAGTTGGGGCTGTAAAGCAAGTACGTTGAGAGTACGTTTAACCTTAGTGTTTAGCGTTGCTGAGTACTGCGCGCCCGTATGGATGAGAAGCGCTCATTGCAAAAAAATTGACGTACGTCCAACTAAATGTAGCCATGAGAACAATTACAGTGACAGTTTAGAAGTACCCCAACCCAATGGCTACCTGTTCTCGCACACATCGACCCTCCAGAAGTTAGGAAACAAAGAGCTTCCCTAAGTACCATCAATAAAATTAAAAAGAATGATGTCCTGCCGAGCACAGCCCGTTTCGCCCAAAATCAACCTTTCCCGTTTCGCCCAGATACCCGTTTCGACCAAAGCCRTTTTAGTCGTTTTCAAATTAAGTTGGCAATGGTTTTTAAATAATATAATACATATGTATATCATTATATAACCTTTAATATTATTATTAGATATTTTTTTTAAAAGTCATAGGAAAAGTTTTTATAAAATACATCATATTTAATTATATATTATTACAGTTATAATACAAAAAACACTATAATATTATTTTTTACTACAACTACGAGTGTAATATAGCAGTTCTGGATGTACTAATTGGTTGCTAATAATAACTGAGATAACTTGTAATAGATACCTATATAACGTCAATAATTTGAGCGGAAAGTCCTGGCTATGATAAAATTGTTATCGACGAAAACTTGTCGTGCTATATAATCAATTATTAGTATCGTTGGCAGTTTTACAAAAGTAGGTATCTTGTTAATCACAACAGTATTTTTGTTCATTGACATGTTTTTATCAACAAATTGTAAAAAATGCTCTAAAAACTTCGCGTCAAAAAATGCGTTTAAGGTTAATTTTATCAAAAATGCTATACAAAATTATTTTAAAATAATCAGTACTTTTTTAAAAACGGCTAATAATAATAATAAAAGTTATATAATATTATTAATTTAWATAATATATAGCATTATATTATTTAAAAACCATTGCCAACTTAATTTGAAAACGACTAAAACGGCTTTGGTCGAAACGGGTATCTGGGCGAAACGGGAAAGGTTGATTTTGGGCGAAACGGGTGCCGCCCGTCCTGCCAATTTACAATGACCTAGTAAATCACCCAAATAAACGGCTTAAATCCAGACACCCCATTTGGGAAGAAGCAACAACCAACGCTGACCCATAGGTTGATTGGAAAAGGACATGGTTAGAATCTAACATACGAAACTCATCCCTGATCAAAGATCCAACAGCAAAAACACCCGATTTTAATATACCGTGTGCATTGTGGACCACATTAAACCACATTAGAACTGAACAAGGAAAATGTAATTACCTACTACATAAATGGGGTATGGTGGAATCCCCTTTATGTGGCTGTGGGCAGATACAAACTATCAGGCGCATAGTAAATGAATGCCCAATAACAAAATATGCGGGAAGTTTTGAGGAAATCCACTCAGCCAGCGATGATGCCATCAAGTGGAGGGAAAATTTAGATGTGTACCTGTGATCTAGTCCAAACCTAATCGGAGAGAGAAAAGTGCCATACGTTACCAATTTTGTTACCAAATTTATTATTTTTTATCCTGTTGTAATATCTAACTTCTGTTTTATTTAAGTCTTTAATTTTTTATGTTGGCCTCAKTTTTATTTCACTAGTTTTATTAGCCCTTATTACCTATTGTTAAATAATGACTTTAGTCTTTACTATTTATGCCGGAGCCATATGCTAATAATAATAATTAAAGAAATTTACTTGTGTCAGGAAATTCCAAAAGTAATCAATTAGATTTAAATGCTTTAAAAAAATGAATAATACCTTTAAAAAATGTGGTTTAATGCACTCATAACAGACCGTTTGTTTATAAATGCACTAATAAAATGCTCTTAAAATTATTTTTAACGATGAAAAAAATTGTTTTGTTATAATTTACATTTTTATTCTAATCAATAATTCATATGAATTTATTATTCGTAAGTAAAAGAATCTTAAATATTATGGTGAATAAAAGTTACATTTTAAATTTCAAGTTTACATTCCTTGATGTATGAAATGTACTTTGAGCTAAGAAAGTAATGTTTTCGAACGTTCGGAAAAAAATGCAATTTTCATTCAAATCCGTTCATTTATAGTAATCATATAAAAAGGTATTAAGTTTCAAATTAATTTGCCCCAAAAAATTCATATTTTGACAAATTTTTAAAAATTAACTACTGGATTTAAATAAACATTTCCAGTATCATTTTTAATACCAACGGCAACATTTATGTAAAAATTAGATTTAAATATTTACTATTTTGAATTTATCCAAAAATTGTTTAATAAAATGTAAATGATTTCGTTTTCAGTAAGTCATATAAAATTAAAATTAAATTATAAATTTGTTGTTATTGTGCAAGTGTCTATTAATTTAATATATAAATATTGATCAGATTATCAGAATATAAGTAATTTCATTTGTCCAGTATTTCTGCTACACCTTGAAACCTTAAGATTAGTAATGCCTAAATGGCTATAGGTAACAAGAAAAAAATCGATTAGTTGATACTTTAAATGCTTAATCAAAAAAACATGTTTGTGTTTATTTTCAACTACCTATTTAATTAAAATGTAATTCTTCTACACTCGTTTACATAAATACCTCTGAATTTTTGTTCCCTATCGCTGAACATAATCTACTTTCAATCATTTTTTAACTTACTGAAGCTTTTTCGGCAGTTAACCTAAGTAAAAAACCATTAATTGTTTTGTTTTCCAGTTGCTAAAATTTGCATGCGTATATACACTATGTCATGGCTATTCTTTGAAAAAAATTTGATATTGTCGTCAAAACTTAATCAATGTAATAAATAAATATGTTTGTCACATTTTAGTGCGAAATACGTATTTACTCTAAATAATATGCAACGATTTATCATTTGTATACTGATGATATTACATTTGATTCATATTGCTATATTAGATCTTATTTATTTATACGAATGTCTTTTGACCAGCCCATAAACATACGGCTGCATGTTACTTGCGACCCAAAAAAAGGTATATTCATTTACAGGTAGTAAATTTGACCGGTAACTTGCGTTCCGTTTTGGGGACGCAAGTCGGCTATATAATTATTATTGATATTTACTATTAAAATCATTTAAGTCGATAGTATCGTGTCACTAAAATCGATAGTTCATAAACTGTACTATAAAATAAATCTCACTATTTGAATTGAATACATGCATTTTTTTATTATGCCAAAATGTAAAAAATATGAATTTTATTATTATGACAAAATGTAAAAAATTAAATTAAAATGTGTTTTTTATTAACTTATTGATATCGATTATATCGATATTTTCGGGACGCAATTAGGTTATAAAAAAAGGTAGGTATTACAGGACGCAAATATAGGCTATGACCCTTTTTAAATCTTTTTTTGCGGGACGCAACTAACCTACTGATAATATTTTTAGGCGCAAGTAGTAAGCTCCTAAACATACTTATAATTTTCTCTGGCATTGGGAGATATATCTGCCTAACTCCTCTAGCCAGTCCGTCTCTGAGTCTTATATTCATGCACGAAAAACAATGGATTGAGTGATGAGATCGTGAGAAAACCTCATAGTTTTTCAGCTCAAGTAAATAACGTCGAAAGAATATGAAATCCCAAGGGCCAAGGAACTAATATATTATTTAACAAGTCTGGAGTGTTATGAGTTGGGAATTTTAAATTCTTTTTAAATTCTTTCGATAAAAGTTTTCTGTATCAGTAATAAAAGTATAGATAAGTTTTATTAAAATCAGAAAGTATTAAATATTTCTAACTCTTATTTACCTATAAGTTATGAGGAACATTGAATTACTAATATTCAAGACTTGTATTTAATTATTATAACTTCAATTAATTTTTTTTCAGACCATAAAAGTGCGTAATTATTTTTATTATCAAAAGATTATTATCTTATGGTTTTTATTCCTACAAAAGTTTTCATTGTGAAGCATATCCGGAAATCCATTAAAATTTCAAAGAAGCTAATATTGTTTACATAAAAATGTGAGCCGGGAGGCTCTATAATAAGATACGACTTAACAGTTGACTCGTTTATGGTTGTTTATAGGGGGGAGGGGATTATGTTATGGACTATATTACTAAGTCCAGGTATTTATTGAGAATAATATAATTATAAAAATTATATTGTTCTTACGTTTCAATTTTTAAAAAATGGTAGTTGTAAGTGCTATAGTCCGAAAAAGCAATTAATAAGGGTGTTGGTCGCAAAAAATGATTATAAAATTTCAAGTTGATAGTTAACAAAAAGAAAAAAACGATTGATATGAAATTTCGAAAGTAACAATTTTAATACAGATAATGAAATTAACATGCTAATGTAAGATACCAATTGAAATTCACACACACGCGGTTAGGTTGCACTTTGTGTATTAGAGACAAGTGACAATCCGCGTTGACATATTAATTATCGCAATGATAATTTTTTATTCGTCGATTGTAAGGCAGAGAAACATTTTACACAAATAATAAATGTATAATGTAAAATCGAGCTATAAACATTTATGGTTGGGCAAACTAATGCATACAGTCAAGAAATCTAATAAATACTAATTTATGTTGCAGATGCAAATTTCCTACAACCACTTACTAAATACTGTCAAAGTAAAATTACAGACATGAAATCCGCAAAACAATTTATTGTTGATATAATTAATGGAACTTCGCATGTTAATCTAAGTGGTCCAATTGGTCCTACTTCTAGTCAGAAGCATGACATTCCCCCACCAAGGGGAACAAGAGGTTTTACTAGTTATTAATTTTACTATTACATCTCAACAATGATTTGAGTAACTAACATTATTTTAAATAGTTTTAGTTGTTAATAAAAATAAAAATTATTTTGAATCCTATTTAAACTTGTGAATAAATTGATTATTCTGAATAAATAAATAAAATAAATTGAGAATATTATCCAATTTTCGTGTAACAAAATTTTGATAATGGAGATTAATACAAAATAACAAATTAAGAGAAATTAAATCCTCCACCCTCCCTTGGATGCACAATATGTCACTCCTTCGCAGACATCAAATCATCATCGACAAACTACGAATTGGCCACACATTATACACTGATGAGCATTTAATGAACAAAAAGGAACAACGGATATGTACCTCATGTAACACCGCGATCACAATTCACAGTAAAACATCTTTTAACTGAATGCCGACGCCATACACAAACTGATGCTCCCCAACAATCTGTGTGAAATACTTGCACCTAACGAAGAGAGAACATCATCACTAATAGAATTCCGCAAAGAGACCAACCTTCTGCATAAAATATAATAACATTAGCAAAACTTAGAATAACACACATATTGTAAACATATTTCTCTTAAAACTTATTATTGTATCAATTGTTCACCTATTTACAATTTATTATTCTGTAAAAAATAATTAAACCATAATATGTATTTTGAAATGCCAATAACTTCGGTAGTTGAGGCGTATTTGTTAAAAAAAAAATTATGATAAATATAAAATATTCGCTTTCATCATTTTAAATTAAAATTGATTTATTTATTTATTTGTTACTGCTTCTCGTAATACTCAAATCATCTGTAATTGTTTTAATTGTACGCACTTATAAAAAAATGAAAATAAGTAGGTACCTATAGTGAACAGTCGATATCAAATGCCGACACTATAATAAATACAATTTCAGCACAGCACCTATAATATGGCTACATCAAGTTAATATGTCAGACTCCATTTTAAATTGATTACAAAAACGTGACTAATTTATATATAAAAATAGTAAAATTTTAAAAACAATTTACAACATGGATATAAATATATATATTATAATATATATATTATTCATTTGTATACGAAAAACGATTCTGAACGAAGAGGGTTTGTAAGTCTAGAACAGTAGAACATTTTAAACTAAAGGTATAATATATTAATTATATTGTTATTATTTCAAGGAAAAAAAAAGTAGGTTCCTATAAAGTAAATTCTAAATTAATCAAATCAGATCCATTACTCGGGTCACCCAGATATTTATAGTATATGTATACAATCAGGGCTTCTAACCTAACCAAAATAGTTTAAAGCAGCAATCGAAAAAATTATCAACAGTGAAAAGAGAGGTGACAATATATTTTGTTTTAGTTCTGAAGAATACAACAAGATTCAAAAATTAAAAGAATTGAAAATTGGAACACAAACAAAAAAAAAGGTAATAAATAATATAATTATGCATAGGTAAATATGATGTAACAATTGATGGATTRGGAAAATTAATCAAACTTTAGTTGAAAATGACTGTGACGTTTTATATTACGTCACAATAGACGAGTTGTTTGAAGTAATTCACACGGCGCATTTGAAAGTAGGCTATGGTGGTAGAATTAGGATGATGGCTATGTTAAAAACAAAATATTGTAATGTGACAACGGAGGTAGTTATGGCATAATATTTAGGCTTGGCTTATTTAATTATTGTCAAGTAAAATAATCGAATCCAAAAACAGAACTTGTGACAAAACCAATTCTACATTCCGCATTCGGGCATTCCACATTTCAAGGTTTATCATAATTTACCACCAGCTTTAGTAAATGACGTTAAAGGCCGGGGAAAGATGTAAATTTGAGTTTAAAAATTGTTATTTTTACAACATTTACCTACATAATCGAATCATTATGGTAAATGACGTAATCTACCAATTTTCGATATTCGCCGTAACATATAGGTACATATGAAGAACTTTCAAATACCTAGCAGTCCTTATGATTCTGTCAATAAAATTAAAATAAATGATTTAGAAATAACTTTTAAAGGAGTATACAAATTTGGGCAACTTTTCTTTTTTGGCGCTTACCCAGCTTAAAATACTATCACAAGTCGCTGCAATAACATGATATTGCTCTTAGTGTGAGATGCACTTTAGCTCGAAGATGTACTTTTATTTTTCATTTCGATATTCAATTTCATCAAAATTAGAACTCCTCGAATGTCTATAAAAACAATTATACTCGTTTATTTCTGATATTTTTAAATTTCTACAAGTTTATAATATCTTTTAATTCATTATTTGTTTTGTTTTATCTAAGTATAACATTTTTATTACCTAATCATAGTAGAAAAAAGAGTAAAATAATTCAAAAATTGTCTATAAATATAGCTTGAATAATTAGTTTAAGTATTTTTTTAATTCCATTTTATATAAAAGAAATATTATAATTTAAGTGAACGCGGATTTTTCAAAATCATTATTTGCATATTTTTTGAAAAACGTGTTAATAACAGAAATCGTTTGAAAATAGGTAAATCGTAAGTAATTAATATAAAAGTTTGAACGTCAATTAGTTTAGTCTCATCAAAATGTAAACTTCAATTATTCATAAAAAAATATGTGGCTTACGCTAAAATAACTACCTATTATACATATAAATAATGATGAAGATTAAAGTCTTAAATTATCATTTTCTATACTCAATACCACTAAAAAAATATTTAGACAAATTACATGTTAATTTTAAATTTTAAATCGAAGGCTTGGTAATTTAATGCAATTATAGGTTCATCATTAGTTCTTCTAGTACAAAAGATTTAAAAATGTCAAAAACGCACCAATTTATTGATATTTACAGTAAAATATTTTATTAAATCAAATATTTAAACGAAAATAAAAATATTATTTATCTTGTTATGATTCAAATAATATCAATACATTTCATGTATTTTAAAACAAAATGATTAATATATTTTCAATTTTCTGTAACGCGCTGTTAGGAAATTAAATGAGAAATCTTGTATAAAATTGTCAAGTTTTTTACTCTCATGCAAATGTTACATAGATGTACAAAGAAACTAGAGGAAATTGAAAATTACCAGTACTGTACTTTGAGGAAATTCATAAAATAGTTAAGAAGACTGGACACAAATTATTTCAAAACTGAACTATCCTATTTATAGATTTTCAAATCAAATATTTATTTTACTCTACAGATCTTTATTATGTGGTGGTCTTCCTTAATATCCATATATTATAATGTGGTTGTTTTTATATGTACCTAATTTTCATTAAACTATTGTTTCAAAATGCTCGTACACATTACTACGGTTATTATTTATAAAAAAGCTAAAAAAATATTGAGCAAGATACTCACAGCCAACTGCAGGTGCTTGGTCGTAAATGTTAGCCATATAATGTATAATAATATAGTGTCTATTAAATTAACAAAGTGACGAACGTGTTAGTGTGTTACTCAAATAGTCAGATTGATAACAGTCAGTAGGCACGTACCTATAGGACTCCACTAACCACGTAGGTAGCAATGTGAGCTCGAGACCCATCTGTTCGTCGGGAGCTTTGAACAGAACGTACTGCCTCTGATCATGTCATACGCATCATGCATAGGCCCCAATAAAGGAAAGTGCTCAGATAGTCAGGTAGATAGTAATTTAATATTAATTTTTGTTAACTATTGCAAAAAATCCTCATTTTAAATTATTGGTTATATTATCGTAATTTTATATATTATTGCTGTTGCTCGATGCTGTGATATTTGTTAATTTTTGTACAAATTTGTATTCATTCTTAGGTGACTATTTTTGTTGAAATATTTATTTACGGTTTAACCTATTGACATATTATTTATTTGTTTTGAACTTGCAAAGTTACAATCATTGATCACTCATATCTACAAAAACTAGGTAGTTTATTACAAAATAGAAACAGTAAATTAGTTACAACTTACCAGTAGTATAATTGAAATTGAGGACATGAATTATAAAATAATTTTATAAGTAGGTAGATAGTTCTTTTGTTGTTATAGTCATCGTCGTTGATGTATAAGTCATGAGATATAAAAAATAATAAAGTTGTGATTTTTTCAATTTGTAAAAAATATAATTATGACAAATAATTGACTCGTAATTTTTCTTTTCTCAATTGTTAAAAAAAAAAATAATAATAATAATAAATTATCCATTAGTATATATTTAAAATACATAAGAAAATAATTTCAAAAATATTCAGACCACTTTATATATTATAGATAATGATGTACTTTAAGCCAATAATATTCTTAAACCAAAACTGTGATTTAAAATAGTTAGTTTTTCAATTTGGCATCTTATACAAATAGTTATGGATAATTTATAAATGGATAGGGCATGAACAATATATTTTGTATATATACTATAGTCTATAATAGTAAATTATTCAGAATCATCACTTGTATATTTTTTAAACCATAATGCAGTGTTTATTGAACTATCCATATCTGCGGCAACAGTGCTTAATGGATGGCAGTCATTGTACATCAACACTCTGCAACAAAAATAAAATAAGTTAAACTATAGTAATAACTTATCATCAAAGTAAATTTACCTAGCTGTAACACCATGCTTCTTAAGAAGATGGTAATATGCCAGACCTTGAGATGGAGGAACACGTAAATCTTTTTCACCAAGCAGTAAAAGAGTAGGAGCTTGAACTTTATGAACATTTTTACATGGCGAACAATCAGCTAATTTCATTAAAATATCTTTTGAATTTGCTATGCTATCTACTTCAGAGTAATTATAACCACCTTCTGTAATATCCCTGCAAATCAGTAATAATAAGTAATTGATTTTTTTTTTTTTTTTTGTATTCACCCAAATGTATTGTAAATACGTGTTTTAGATGTAAAATAATGTGAACTTAAAAGCTATTTCTTGTTTTTTTTCCCATTTAAAT